AAATAATCTACTTTGAAAATGTCTCTGTGCATGATTTAGCAAATTATTCAATTGAAGTCAATGAGATCATAAAGATCAAGAAATTCTTCAAAATATCTTCTTTTGTGTTCCGCAAGAAAGTCATAGTAAATTATAATGATTTTCTTTTCCTTTTTTATCCCTTTAAATCTGGAAGAAGATTTTATTGCTCAAATATTGCTTATTTCATAGCTCAGGAGATGTAATGAAGATCTAATTGTTTTCATTTCAAGGTGTATTTAGCAGTTTTGGATGTTTACATTTGATAACTTAGGCAAATAATGAAGAAGTGTTAAATGATTTACAAATTGAGTACACATTACTGCCACCATAAACTCTGGACTTTTCTTTAAGCCCAGACCTTCTAAGCTGGTGACGTAATTAAAGAATAATAGCAGAAACAAACTGATATTGATCATAAGCTTGTATGCATTTGTATACCATTATTGAATAGCAATGAAATTTCCAGAAAATACTACTCATTTAGATTTATGAGGACTACTACATTTCCCATTATTCTCTGAAGCAGCATTATAATGAAAAAAAATATTACATTTTCTTCCAATTAAAATGACATAAACATACATAATATCATACAGGTATTTATGAAATTAGAAAACTCTCTATCAATACACGAAAAAAGAGAGAAAATTAAATTAAGCATGTCAAACTTTCTTCCAATCAAAATTACATACATTCTATTCTTCAATAACGGTATACCACTATTGAAGAAAAGCCATGAAATTTCCAGAAAATACTCCTCATTTATGAAGAGACAGACTACATTTCCCATCATTCTCTGTAATAGCATTATAATGATAAAATACACAGCTTTAAAAAATCAATTACACACCAAATGGAGACCCTTTGCTCTTCATGTCTTGCATTAGTGCTACAAAACTCTTTCCATCTCAGTAAGTGAAAAAGAGAGAAAAAATTATTATTCAGCATAATTTTCATCCAATCAAAATTACATATCATACATGTTTTTATGTTTTCCAAACTAGTAATTAGGAACTTTCCAGGAACGCTTGAATGCATACTCCTACAGGTCATTTTAGATAAATGAGATTTGCTTTTACTGCTAATTATTTAGCTCAAGTTTTTATTTCCTGTTGGAAAGAGGTTGGAAATGGAATCTAATGATGCATTTATCGTGAAATTTATCACAGTATCGTGAAAAGCGCTATACAGATAAACTTGAATTGAATTAAACTTGAATTGAATTTGTGGTGATTCAGACATTGCCAATGCTTAGGGCTGGGAAAATACGCTAATCTGCCGATTTAATATTATCCCGATACTTGTGTGCCGATTCAATATATATTGCGATAATTGAGTATTGCGATTATATGAGTATTGCGATTCAATATTACAATTTGTTGTAATTTTTATTTGCTTATTAAAGACTAGACAATGGAAAAATACTTGACCATACCCTTAAAGAGACTGTATATGATGAGTCATATTAAAAACAATGCATCACATCTTTCTGAACTTTTATTTCAGGAGCATACACATACACAGTGTATATTTTAAAGTACCTTGAACCATGAAACTTTCAAGTAGCCTACCAAAACCCTGAACTTGCACATGAATATAATAGTCAAATGTTCCAACAAAATGAATAGAAAAAATTATTTCTGAAATAAAATAAAGTGCTATGTTACTTTGCATACCGTTTTAGTCATGTTTTCCCAGCAGTGTGTCAAATCCAAAGTGTATTACTTGGGAATCAAACGTGAAGGTGCAGAAAGAATTCTCGAAGAGGTTTGATCCTCTGCCTCTGTCATGGTTTTGCTTTCTCGCGCCGGCTTGAAACGTAGCTATACAACGTCATCTAATACAGCAGCGCTGAGAACTCAGACCGATTGCTGTATGACAAAGCACTGCGAGAGCTAGAGAGAGCAGACAGCTCCGAATGCTTACGAATCGCTTTCGCGGTACTTTGATGTCATACGCCGATCGGTCTGCACGCTGCTGCTTCAAATCGAGTACACCTCATCTCACGAGCCGGTCCGTTTTGACAGCACACTTACTGTATGCTCACATCCGCATGTAAACATGTCGTCGGCGTGGAAGTTCTTCATTGTGAGTGAAACGGACACAAAGTTTGCAATTTG